AGTTGTTAAGAGCCTTCAAGTCAGTTCTGATTCATAGTAATCCTGTGTAGGATTTCCAAGGAGTAGCTGGTGGGTTTGAACCACCAACCTTGTGGTTAGTAGTCCCATGCTTAGTCTATAGAACCACACCAGTACTATATCTAGATCTAGATCTAGATCTAGATCTAGATATATATAGAGAGGGTCCGGATATGGCACTGTGGGATAAAACACTGTAGTACAAGTTTGGTTTGAACCACAAGGCTGGTGGTTCAAATTCACCAGTCACTGCTCAGAAACCCTATACAGGGTTGTTATGAGTCATGCCGACCTGCGGCATATAACAATAACATAGTTATATGAGGGAGTTTAAAAAAAAAACAACTCATGGAAATATTAAACTAAAAGATAATGGAATTTTTCCACATTCTGTTTGAAAGGCTGGCAGTTCACATTCACTACCTGCTCCTCAGAAACCACTATGAGTGGGAACCAACTCGACAGCACTTAACAACACCCTATATATATACATTTATATGTTCATATTTAATTAATAGTTAATACTAATTTAATTGATTGATTATTCATTTAATTAATTAACATCTATTTAATTAATTAAGTACATCTCTCAGGATGTACCCGACTGATGTTTATTGCTTCCTCTGGTTAGCTTACTTTCTTTGGTAAACCTACAATACCCTTTGGTCTATAACGAGGGTCAACAATATTTAACTCAAGACTTATTGTTTTTTCATCTATCTGCACTGATCCTGATATTCCTAGCAATAAGACACTCCTCACCTCAGGTATGCATCCAGCTTCCTCATTTACATAGAATTGACTACTCTTTCTAAAAAATTGAACTTAGCGAACTAATAATTCTTACTCTTTCCTCAGTTCAAGATGGTAACTCTGGAAAAGTATACCCATAAGAAGTTGGTTCATTTAAATTTTTTTATGAACATTAAACAAATAATAACAATAATGATGAGACCATTCCTAATCCAGATGACCATTGTCATGATGTCATTCCTATATACTGCTTAATAGAAATATGTATTTATAAATATTAAAGAAGCATTTGAAGCTTAATTTGAAAGTATGTCATATAAGTCTTGGTGGTTATTCCTGGTATGCACAAAATTCCAGAGGTGAGAAAAATATGACCATGTGTATGGGAACTTAGACAAAGAAGGAGATGCTGGCATTAATGCTCATGACTAAGAGTTCATAACCGTTTCTTTCTCCAAGTATCTAGCAAAGTTTGGTCACAGCTTAGGCATGAGAGGTAGGGGACATCAGGTGCTATGGTCAGCAGAAGAGCTCAAATGACAGATTTTCTATAGAATTGGAAAATATATTCCTATGAGTTGAAGAGAAGGTATGGAATTCTATAATTACACAGTCACCCAATTTAAGTCACTGCTCTTAATATACACATTCTCTGTCCCCTCAGCTCTATTACACTGACACAGAAAGGGTTTCAGAACTCTTTGGATATATAGAAACATGGAGAAAATAGATTTGAAAACAACTGTATAGAGCATTTTCATGCTAGCAAATGGTACGCATCTAATCAGCCCAAGGGTCTGTTCTTTGTTTTTATTTTCTTTACTCAGTTTGGCTACAACTGCCAGTGTTTCTCTCCTTTCATGGCTTTTACCATGTCTGCTCCATGAGAGTAAGGATAATGTAAGTCTTATTTGCTATACTGTGTTATAGAACCTGCCATGTAATTGATCCCTACTAAAATAAAATTGTTGCTTAAATGAGATTTAAATCAATCAATCCTGTGTCCCTCCATGTCCTTTTGTTCTTATGTCTAGATCTCTGAATATGCATACTCCCTTTAGTGTCTTTGTTATTGAGCATTGTAATGCCTTCTAAGATTTGGACATCCGGAATTGTCTTGTCATCCAGTATCCTCAGAAAACAAAAGATTGCAATTCTTGATGTCAGAACCCATTCCTTCCTTGTGCTTTTGAAAATGACTTGAGAGATATTTAAGCCACACCAAATGAATGATTTTTTTTACTTACTTCCAGGCCAAGTGACACTGAATATTGAAGTAGCAGATTAATGTGAAGGGGATTAGAGTAACAATGTACAAGGTGTTCAAATGTGTACATTTGATTGATACCTTCCAAAGTTTCTCCCATCTCTTCTTGTCCTACCTTATCTAATAAATATGGAATGGAGGGATCAGAGAAAATCATGAGAAGTTTATTTTTTCTTTCATTGAATTGAATCTTATGAAATAGAGCAGCACTATAAGATCATTACGATCCCAGGCAAATGCATCAAGAATAGGGATAATGTGGGAGAAGTTGGGAGAAACTTTCCTAGTAAATAAAATGCAATGCCCTCTTCTGCTTCCCATGTTCATACATACCTCACTACAGAAACAAGGTCCTGGGAGTTCTCCCAAAAAGTTGAAGCAAAAAAACCCACCCTCCCATTGTCCACTCTAAGCTATTTTCTTCCCTCCCTTGATATAATGCTTAAAATTAATCACCTTCCTGGTGACAAGGTTCATGCTCAAACCACGATACAGAAAGGGACCTTGGGGGACTGCTATTACAAAGCTCCAAGTCCCCAAGGCTGGGGAGAGGAAAGGGGGAATAAGAGGACAGAAATAGGCCTTGGGGAGGAGCTTCTAAAACAAATGCTCTTTATATCTTCATTTATGGGCATTTTCTAAAGAGATGATATTGAAACCAAGATTTTGGACAGACTCAGAGTTCCAGTGTCATCTCTATAACATTGATTTTAAAAAGGAGACTGATGAACAGGTCAGTGAGTGGCTCCAGTGTGCTTTGCCTTGGAAGTCTTAGTATAGGTAATGGGTATGGCTGAGAAGAAGGATTTTAGAGAGTTGATTTATCATAATTCTAAGAGAAAGGCAGTAATACAGATATATCATTCAAGAGCTGATTGAGTATAGGAAGGTTTCCCAAACCAAACCACTAAGTCAATTCTGACTCACAGT